TTTCTTTTTAAAGTTCACAAACAATACAGATATGTATTCTGTTTCTGTCATCTAAACTGATTAAGTAATTACATATGCAATATCACAACAGTTGCTAATCATTTATCTGTTTTAGTTAATTTTTTACACCTAGAAAATTTTAGCTATTATTGCAAGATCATTTTTTTGAGTGTAATAAAACAGCTATATACATCTCGTATTTTTCGATCCAGATTCGAATTCTCTTCAGCGTACAAACTTATTTTTATATTTGTTGTAATAAAGAAGCTTGCGTCAATCATTACGAATAATAATTAAGTGCATTTATTTCATGTTTAGATTTAAATCTAATCGATACAGATATAATGCATAAAATATCTATTCAAATTAAATTAAATTAATTTTACTAAAATAATAATTATAGCTTCAATTTAAAAAAAAATTCAAAAAGTTATATATCAATAAATATCAAAAAAACGACATAAAATCTGTTCTAATTTGTTTATATATGACAAATTAATGATTATAACAAAATTTAAAGCAAGATTATATTTAATAGTAATCATAAACAATTACTGAGTGCTCTAAAAATTAGTTTGCAAAAATTTTATATTATATTTTACCAATGATCCCACACATATTTTTATAATCTAAATAATATTTATTATACATATATATAATATTTAATATTTTTATTAATTTTAATAATCGCAAAAATGAAAGATTCTTGAAATTAAGCTATCAAGAGTCTTATAATAACTCTGATGATGAATTTAGCAGCATCAATGTTAAAATACAATTTGCTCGATTTCTCATAATTAACAGTCAAGACTCCACCGATACCAATACTCACCGATTAACAAATAAATCTCCGTAATAATTAAATGATGGATTGAATAGTAGACCGCGATCGAGAACAAGGATTAGCTAACACTTGAGAGCAATCTGTCCGCAAAGGTATTTGGCGATTTCTTTCTCACACTCTATCGACACGTTGATAATATCTTCCCGATGTATCGACGAACGTTTCAGTAGTTCGAATCGGCCGCTGAGCCGCCGACAGGAGTATATATACCTGTGAAAGCACCCTCTGACGCATCCCCTCAGTTGCAACCCGTAGCCAATCCTCGAGATCCAACCCCACCAGTCAGTCTCCTACTGATATTCTCTTGCGTGGATCTCTCACGCTCTCGCGAGAACTTCGGGGTTGCGCGCAAGAGCGCTCGGTCGCGTTTTTTTTCTGGATAAAAGGCGATCGCTTACCGTAATATAAAAAGATCGTTTTCCTCCCCCGCGGCGTAGAGATCTTTGCGAGTTGATTAAAAAATAATGCGGATTCTAATTGTTTTAATTTTAATCGCTTATTGTGAAATATGCGACTACTTTCTTTGTTCTTTTATCTACGCCGCTAGTGTAAAAATGTGAGAATATGTTACTATGCTCATGTTTAAAGAGTTTAAAATTTATACGCAGACATTATCTTCCTATGCAATCGGATATTTTTCTCCTTTGACGATGACAACAGGAAAATTACGGAGAGCTCGTAACTCTTGATGAATTTAGACACGCGTACAAGAACAGACACGATTCAAAGCGCTCTTATAATGAGCTAACCAAAATTAAATATTCCAAAAAAAAAAATCAAAATTAGATAAGACTGAATATCGTATAATAGAAATATCAAAATTAAACATGTCGCGAGGGTCACATTATTTCGAATAACCTACATATTGTCTACGACCTACATATGCTATCTTATATTAAACGCTTTGGTCGCACGAGGAAATTCAGGAACGTATCCATTTTTCGATTTATAATCAACCCATAGCAAATTGTTAAATTACGGTAATATCCATATAGCAACAGATTTGGCTGTAATCCTATTATTCAAATTTTCTCACCAAAGCGAATCCCTCGTTTCGACGTATAGCAATCCGATAATAAAACAATCTTTATATATCAAGGTTCGGTCTATCCGCTGGCTTGCACCTCCAACCAACCGGTTATTATGTAGGTCAAGCAGGTATTCATCAGGAGATTGTCACTCCTCGATTTTTAACTAAATGAAAGTTGAATTAATTCGTCTAAAGTCCTACTAATAAATCCTACTAAAAAAAACTATATAACATATTAGAGTGAGTGGAAGGAGTAAAGATGGTCCATTGTGAAAAAGAGAAAACTATATTGGACAGAAACGTCTGTTTCATATCTCTTTTCGTTTTTAATATCTCCACCATACACGATAGCAAATGTGGAAGGAAGATAAACGTGTGTGTATGTGTGTGCGCGTGTGTGTGTGTCCCGGTCTACTATTGCTATCCTTGGATCGCGAACTACACGTTGTTCTTATGGAAAGGGCTAATTCCAGTATGTTATATGACTCACTGGGTTCTACGAAGAACGTAGAACTGTTGTACGCAACGACTTCTCGACTGCCGCTAACAGTTGAAATAATCCAGAATAATCTACTGAACCAGTGACAAGTGGTTCTTATACTGATGGCTTGTCGGAATTGTCTCGCTTGCAAGTGTAAAATACGAATAGTCGTGTACAGTTTCACAAATTAAGAGGCACCACTCTCTCTCTTTCTCCATAAAGGCAGGCATGAGCAAACAGATACACGTAAACAATACATCCAATGTAGAGAATCGTGCCTTTCTAATTTGTGAAACTGCAAAATAACCACTCGCGTTTCTCACTTGCAAACAAAACATTTCCGACTGAAATCGCTAAAACTGTCCCTCACTTTTACAGAAGGAAGTCACGAGCTTATGCGCAGTGCAAAATCTGGCCGATAAAAAGACAAAAGCAAGAACGAAAAAGATAAATCGACAGGAAAAAATAATCCTTCATGCATTGAGTTGATGAGAAATATATTGACAAATATGACTAAGGAGAACGATCGTTAGATCGATCAAAGAATAGGAATTGCGCTAAGAGACTATATTCTGTAATTCTGTCGGAACTGAGCGTTATTCATTTTCGGCGATTACCACAAACTTCCGTTAATCCCACCGATATTGATTTCTGTGATTCATTTTCGTGCCACTTCCCAGTTAAACATATAACTCCTTCAAAAATTATCTTTCTATCGTACATCACATGCTAGGAAAGCATACATGAATTCACATATCAGAAGTTGTAATTTTATGATGAAATTGCGTGGTCGAATGAGCAATTTCTATTTGCGTGAAAATCCATTCGTAAAGTTTACACTTTATTTCAACATCAATATCTACATTATATCTGAAAAAAATGTTAAACGAGTAAATCCTAGTACAAATAGAAATTATCATCCACGAGAATATAGCAATTAGATAGTGACTTATACACTAGATTTTGGTGACGTTGCGAGGCATATGTGCGTATTTAATTATATCGACCAGCTTTCGGAGATGATAGAACGTCATCAATCTCCAGTATCTCTCAAAATTCACCAATAATGGACAAAATAATGCTTTTAATTTCATAAAAAATTCTTTTCATAAAATTCGGTGTAATTTGGCATTTTAGATGTAGCTTGAAAACAATTGATAAGTACACATATTTTTAATATATAAGCAGTTTTGCAAAATTTACAATATATACCTACAATTGAACTATTAATAACAAAAAAAAAACAAATTTCAGATAGATGTAATTTTGCTATTATTCAGTAATTTATAAATGATGGGAATAGAATTGCATGATGCCCTGCGCTTTGAAACAGAAAAAAATAACCTAGCTCATCGGTTCGCCCTTTTAATGTAATTTAATGTAAATTGAGAAGCACTGTATGATAAGAAAATTATGCGTTCGCGAGGGTCTCATTAAGCCTCGGTACGCCCCTCTCACGCCCACTCCCCTGGTTTTCTCATTCTTTTACCCATCTCTCTTTCCCCCGCGCATAGTTTTCACAGTGCTTATCGCCATCGTTGATTTATAACGTCAATCAAACAGTTTTACGACTGTTCCGCTTATATTTACTCATGCAAATGCTTAGCAGCATCTGTAGCGATAACTGTAGCCGATGCGATTGCTGATAAATCGATATTACGAAACTTTCTGCTCTAGGAGATACTAAAAAGAAGTAGATTGGTCAGTGCAAGGGCAGGGATTGCATAGAAAGTAGATTAAAGAAATATAAGACCGACGTGGTCGTTTGAGACTCCGAAGATTCTTGCCGGAATCGTTCTTTGCCGCACGCGCGACACACGAAGAATATCGTTGCGTAGGTGCCCGCTCAAGCTCGGTCGCACTCGTGGAACAGGCTTAAGTCATCCCAATTTAAGTTCTAAGGTACTTTCACCCTTTCGCCACGAAAGGAGATGAAATTACCGCAGAGTTAATAGTTTGCGTTTGAGAAGCATACTTCGGCTGTTCGGATTGTAGTTTTATCGGCACGGCATTTGTGTGTGAGCGAAACGAGCTAACAATAAGCGAGCGCTTTTTGTTCGTGTATTAAAATACGTTTAAAATAGATTTTGTAGTCGTTCCGCTGAAAGTTATAAAGAAGTTTGACGGTAAAGGAGTTAATTTAATCGGTTACAGTTACCACGATTACAAGTTACAACCGATTCCGTAAAACGGGTTACAGTTATTACAAGCTCGGAAAGAAGCTTCCACCCGCAAGTTAAACTTAGATGGTGATGGATTTGTGTGTGCAATATAAAGAATACAACAATTCGGCAGAAGAAAATACGCAGAAGCTTACTAGATTCAATATACTGTACACGTACTTACAATAATGTAGAATGAGAGATATTAATTTTAAAATCTTATTTCAGAAATTTGCATCAATCGATTTTAAAGTTACGGCTGCGATTGCGCATCAAGTAGAATGTTGAGAGCCGTTGTTACGTCTGGTCACTAGACGTGTGTAGAGAATTCTGTAATATCGACTATTAGCGCAAAATTTGAAATGTCTCCTTATTTTTTAGTCACCCTGCATTCACCGGGTTTACTAGGGATACAGGAGGTAACAATCTATCGTATGAAAAGGATATGAATAAAATTAAATAAAATAAATTAAATTAGCTTACCTAATTTTAATTAGGAACAAAGCCTTATAGATACGTCTTAATAATGCAGATATTACACTGCTAAATATAAACCAAATAACTCAGTGTTTTCAACTGAACAATGCAGAGAAAAATAGTATGTAGAACTTAATATGACCTAACAGTGAGTCTGCTGGAAGAGAACTGTCTCACGAGCGATGATGTACGTTGGTCCTCTTGTGGTGGGGAGTAGGCCCTCGAGAGTATCGCATAGATTTTTAATCGTCACATCGGCTTCTTGATACGTTGGAATATCGTTTGGCTGGAAGTTGATATGCAGCTCGTTTTCGTTTATAGAAGATAGCCGACGGATAAGATGGGTGTCTGGTAACCTTTGCTTATTTTATTCTTATCTCTTCACTTATTTGTTCAATGCATTGTTCAATTATGCAGTATTCTTATAGCTATAGTATAATTAATATTTTTATAACTAATAATACAGTTAACACTAATCATAACTTCAATCTTGCTCTTTGGATGAATTTTTAGATGGACTTGTACAGATCTCTTTAATAATGTTCTGTTTTTTGAATTTTACCATTGTCGGGACATCACACCACCCCCCTTAAGTAACAAATACCGATAGTACTTTACTAAGGGATTTGTTCACTTCCATCTAATTTAGCCCGTAAATCTCGAAACGAATAGACTATGGGTACGGCTTGTGTAAGTTGTGCGTGTGTTTCTGTTGGTTGTGCATTTATTATCGTTGGCGTATTGTGTGTGGTTTCATTCGCAGCGCTCTCGTTTACATGTGTTTCTTGCTTTGGTTCTGATTGGTTCTGTTTTTTGTTAGCGAGATATAATAACAAGTGTGTGAAAGAGCTCCAAATAGCTGC